CAGATCTGAAAACATCCACAGGTGTTTCTGTCCATCCTTCCACTGTGAGAAGACGACTCAGCGCTGTGGGTCTGAAAGGATGTGTAGCTGTTCAAGAAGAACCTCACTGAGAAAAGGAGACGGACACATCAGACAAAGAAGCTGAACGATGGACTGACCACCCCAGAGTCCAGACCTCAACACCACTGAATGTGTTTGATTACTTCAGAAAATGATCAACCAGCTTCTAAGACTGAACTTTGGAGGTGTGTCTGCAGATTCTTTGAGGAACTGAAAGTGAGTCTCCTGAAAAGAATGGAGGCTGGAATAAAGGGAAAGAGTGACTCACTGACCACTGAAAATTTCAGTATTTTATTTAGTTAATTTTCTGTTATGTATGTTTTCTGTAATTTTGCTCACACTGAAAAATGAATTACTTGTGTTTAATGGATGTTTTGACTAAAAAAAATGCCCAAAAATTTGGTGTTAGCCATAAAAATAGTGTTTAGCTTATTATAGATCATAATACGCACATTTTATCAGCACCTTCCAGTAGTGTGTGTGTGTGTGTGTGTGTGTGTGTGTGTGTGTGTGTGTGTGCGCGCTCCTACAGTGTGAGAGGTCACAGATCCCCCCAGGGAGAAAGTCACACACACCTAACAGACAAACTGTTTTAACACCTCTCTCTCTCTCTCTCTCTCTCTCTCTCTCTCTCTATTTGTTTCTCTCTCCCTTTTTATTTCTTTTTCTCTCCCTCTCTCTGTCTGTCTCTCTCTCATTTTCTGTTTCTCTCTCTCTCTCTCTTTATCTTTCTCTGTATCCCTCTCTCTCTCTCCCTCTTTCTCCTGAGCCTCACCCTTTAATTCTCACCCTCGCTCTCTCACTTTTTTGCCCTTTTCTCTCTTTCTGTTCTGTTTTCCTGACTGTAGCTCTCTCTCCGTCCTTCTCTCTGTCTCTCTCTTCCTCTTTTCCTGTATCCCGCTTTCTTTCTCTCTCTAATTGTTTCTCTCTCTCCTTTGCTGTCCCTGTCTGTCTCTCTCTCATTGTTTTCTGTTTCTCAGTCTCTTTCTCTGTATCCCTCCCTCTCTCTCTCTCTCTCTCTCCCTCCCTCTTTCACATGAGCCTCGCCCTTTCATTCTCACCCTCACTCTCACTTTTTTGCTTTCTCTCTCTTTCTGTTCTATTTTCCTGAATGCAGCCCCCTCTCCATCCCTCTCTCTCTCTCTCTCTCTCTCTCTCTCTTGCCCTTTAATATTTCATCAAACAGTCTCTGAGGACGCTCGCCCGCTGTTCTGGTATTTACAGTGGGGCAGGAGAGAGAGAGAGAGAGAGAGAGAGAGAGAGAGAGAGAGAGAGAGAGAATGAGAGAGAGAGAGAGAGAGAGATGAAATGCCATGACTGAGGCTCAGGTCATGTGCAGGGATAATATTGCTCTCTGCAGAAACATTAAATCATATACGGTGACTCTGAGGCTGTTTCTAAGGCTGTAAATCTGTCAGCTCACAACAGTTCAGCGACACTTCTTTAGGACACGATTCAGTCTCAGATTTCACCACAATCTCCGTTACGATTCTGGGGGTATGATTGTGAAATTTTCTTAAAAATTCACTGAGTAAACAAATGTGAGTGGATGAACGATTTACACAGTGATGAAATACAGCTGTATACAAATGTTTTGGCACCCCGGTCTAAATGACGATTTGTTGATTCTCTAAGTGAAAAAAGTAAACACATTCTCTACAGTGAACACTCTGAAATATGGCATTTTTCTGCAAATTTTAGTGCACAATTTCTGTTTATTAGCCAAATATAATATATTGGGAAAAAAATAATATAAAATGTGGCATCATTTTCACAAAGGTCATGTTTTATAGTTTTCCCAGTATGTTAAGTTCAGCAAATAAACAGTAACCGTGCTTTAAAATGTGCAGGAGTGTGTTCTCTGTAGAGGATGTGTTCACTTGTTTACAAGGGGTGGCCAAACTTTTGCATACAAGGTTACTAAACAGTATATATGTATGTATATATATATATATATATATATATATATATATATATATATATATATACGTATAGGGCTGAACACACACACACCAGAGACAGGTCAGTAGTGCTCTAAGACCTTTATTACAAACTCAAAATTAGACAGTTTAACAAGAAAAGGCTGTAGGCTGAATATGGGTGGAAAATAAAACTGCACCTCATTTGAGGCGGTAAGAGGAAAAAAGAGAAAACGGCTTTGGGTTCAGGGTTTTGGTGGGTAGACAGACCCGTGGCAGTTCTGTGGGGAAGAGTTCAGAGGGTGGGGGGGGGAATAGAGCCAGCTGAGATCCCCTTCCACCTATATGTATATCGGTGTTGTCAGGACACCAGTCCAGGGTGTATCCTGCCTTCCACCCCATGACTGCTGGGATAGTCTCCAGCTCCCCCTGCAACCCAGAAGGATAAGTGCTTTAGAAGATGTGTGTGTGTGTGTGTGTGTGTGTGTGTGTGTGTGTGTGTGTGTGTGTGTGTGTGTGTTGTCGGAACAAAACTTCTATCTCTATTTTTGTCGTTTTTCAGTTTTTGACATAATTTGAAAATGGCTGTTGTTCTTTACGATTAATGGACCAAAATAAACGACCCAAAATGACTTGGACAAAAGTCTGGTTCCATTGACTTACATTAAAAGTAGAGTATGTTTTTTCCTTCTCCTGTAAAGTTACCATTGTGGAGATATGAGGGTTTCTTCTGACAACAGTGATATATATATATATATATATATATATACATATATATATATATATATGTGTGTGTGTGTTCAATACTCCTGTATTGGATATCGACATCAACCCAGAACTCCATTATTATCCTAAAACTAGTGCTAAGTGTCTTATTACAGCACATTTTATTCAAATAATTTGATACTGGAATTTGAATTCCTTTTTTAAAAGATTTTTAACTGAATGTAAGTTGGACACAATGTGAGCATTCATCTACAACCCTTCTACAGAGGCCTACCAAAACAAAGTGATGCCATATCATATAAGACATATGCATTGAAATAGCTGATGTATTTGTGAATTTGAGACAGATTTAATGCCTGTATGAATCTCACTGTGGCTTTAGTCACCTTTAGTCTACTGACACTCACTCAGCGCTCACTGTCTGCTCTCCACTCACGTTTTGTAGACGTATTATTTTTAGTAGCATTCAGATGTGGAGTTATTAATCTGAAAGCGGCAGTTTGTGTGAATTGTGATGGCTCAGAGCTCCACGGCGCTGAGAGAGGGTGAAGCAGGAATGTTCCTCAGCCGTCAAACTGAGCACATTCTTATGCACTGATTGTGTTGACTGCACCTTGATCTGTTGCTGCTGCTGCCAGCAAAGGAAACAGTATTGTTTTACACTGTGGCTCAGCTCCAATACACTTTTTATACACCATCCATTTTATTATGGGTGTCTAATTTGTTTTACTGTTTGATTATTAGAGCATCGTCTCTGTTTCATAGCGGAGGCAGATTTGTAGAGCTGAGCTGCTTTTTTCCAGCGTCCCTGCAGAGCTGAAGTTTATTGCTGTGATCTGAGACTAACTGTATCAGCACGCTTTTTCTCCTGTTTCTCAGAGCCGTTCTGACGTGTCCTATATTGAGCTGTGCTATATTCAGCACTTCCTACGAAACTTCAATCTCCTTTAGCAGGTACTCTCTGGCCACTTTATCAGAAACCCCTCTCCAGTAGCTCCATCTTGATGGTGTACAGTTACAGACTGTAGCTCATCTGTTGATACACATCTTCTAGCACTTCATCAGATGGTCAGTTTCTGACCACAGAGCCACACTATCATGTCAGTGTCACTTCTGTGCTGAGAATGGACCATAGCAGTCCTGTGGTCAAAAGCTAAGCAGTGATGAATGGGGTGGAAGGGGGGGTGAAAACTGTGTAGCAACAGATGGACCTCAGTCTGTAACTGTACACCTACATAGTGGAGCTAGAAGGTAGGTGTTTCTACTAAAGAGGCCAGTGAGCGGAAGTACATGGTAGGTGTTTCTAACAAAGTGGCCAGAGAGTGGAATTACAACACAGGTGTTTCTAATAAAGTGGCCAGTGAGTAGAAATACAGGATAGGTGTTTCTAATAAAGTGGCCACTGCGTGGAAGTACAAGGTAGGTGTTTCTAATAAAGTGGCCAGTGAGTGGAAGTTTCTAATAAAATGGCCAGAGAGTTGAATTACAAGGTAGGTGTTTCTAATAAAGTGGCCAGTGAGTGGAATTACATGGTAGGTGTTTCTAATAAAGTGGCCAGTGAGTAGAAATACAGGATAGGTGTTTCTAATAAAGTGGCCACTGAGTGGAAGTTTCTAATAAAGTGGCCAGAGAGTGGAATTACAAGGTAGGTGTTTCTAATAAAGTGGCCAGTGAGTGGAATTACATGGTAGGTGTTTCTAATAAAGTGGCCACTGAGTGGAAATACAAGGTAGGTGTTTCTAATAAAGTGACCAGTGAGTGGAATTACAAGGTAGGTGTTTCTAATAAAGTGGCCAGTGAGTGGAAATACAAGGTAGGTGTTTCCAATAAAGTGGCCAGTGAGTGGAAATACAAGGTAGGTGTTTCTAATTAAGTGACCAGTGAGCAGAAGTACAAGGCCGATGTTTCTAATAAAGTGGCCAGAGAGTGGAAGTTTCTAATAAAGTGGCCAGAGAATGGAATTACAAGGTAGGTGTTTCTAATAAAGTGGCCAGTGAGTGGACGTTTCTAATAAAATGGCCAGAGAGTGGAATTACAACACAGGTGTTTCTAATAAAGTGGCCAGTGAGTGGAAGTGCGAGGTAGATGATTCTAATAAAGTGGCCAGTGTGTAGAAATGTAAGGTGGGTGTTTCTAATAAAGTGGCCATTGAGTAGAAATATAAGGCAGGTGTTTGTAGTGGAGTGCGGTGGTGACAGTGCTGCTGTATGAGTCTGAAGTGCAGTAATCCTGTGTGGAGAGATCCAGCCGTGGTGAACTCCTCTCCTGTATGGGAGTGTAAGCTCTCGGCGTTAGGCTGCCAGATCAGGGCATTATCCCGCTCTGATCCAGGAGGCGATTATGGAGCCATCTCGCTCTGCTATAGCGCACACGCACCCTACATCACCTTCAGGATGTCAGCTTTCAGCTGATGCCCTCCAAGCCTCCAGAGTGATGAGCCCGAGCTTTCCATCTTCCTCTCCTCCTCGCGTCAGCACAGTCTCAATCTCCAATCCCCCCTCCTCCCTCGTCCCGCCGCCTTACGCTCCTTTCATCATCCATCAGTTCATCACTATATCACATACGGTGCAGTGAGTGAGCCGAGATGTTGCAGGCTGAAGCGTATTGCTACTACAATTTCAAAACCGACTCAGATAAAAACTCACTTTCACTTTCATGACGAATGAATTGCTTAATGAATTATGACCTAATTACTCAATGAAATCCCGTCAGGCTGACATACACACTACAACAAGTCCACTGTTTTCTAAAATCAAGATTTAAACTGTCATTCAGAGGGGTTTGAAGTGAAATGCTCTATTCTAGAGAAACAGAGTCGGAGTGGTGGTGATAGGAACCAAACCAAAAGCTCCCCCACGGAAAGCTTTTACATGAAATAATCATGAATACACTGCCTGATGTTGAAGACACAATAGTTCTGAGAAGACTTTGGCCTCAAATGTATTTTTAAAATTCGTTCATTTTGGAGAGGTATGTGCAGGGCCTACAACAAAAACCTATTTATGATTTAACATCATCAGCATTTCATGTAAAACCTCAGAAGACTCGTGTAGGTCCACTGGTGGTTTTGGATAGTAAATAAAATGGCTATATCTGTGTTGTAGTCATGGCGACCCCTGGTTCCTATCACCACCACTGTAAAGACATCTGAACCATTTCACACCAAACCACTCTGAATCACTCTGTTTACTCATCAACCACTGAATGGTAAAGAAATTTATAAAAAATGGTGTAATTCTCCTTTTTACTTTTAATGTAAGATAATCTAACAAGATTTTAAACAAGTAATTTTGACCTATTTATAATAGTCTGTTCAAAGCCAGCTGATGTCTCTGAAAGGTGTGAGTGAAATTAGACGTTATAGTATGAAGCAAGGTGTGTTTGCAGCGCAGGTTTCTAATAAACTGAGTGGAATTACAAGGCAGGTGTTTCTAATAAAGTGGCCAGTGAGTGGAAGTACGAAGTAGGTGTTTCTTCTAAAGTGGCCAGTGAGTGGAAATACAAGGGAGGGGATTGTTTTGGAGTGCAGCAGTGCAGTTCTACGTCAAGTTTTGTTAGTCGTTTGTCGTTGTTTTTGCTCAACTAAACCGAAACACAGACGTATTCGGGGATCCAAATCCCTGCAGCAGCGCCTGAACTTTTATTATGCTGTTGAACTTTTATTATTTTATTATGCTGCTCAGTTCTGCTCAGTTTTCATATGCTGCCTGTTTTCATGTCACTACCAAAACAGGAAGTGAGACTGCATCCTTGTCCCTCATGGCCACATGGTGAGCAGTTAGATCCCATTGTTTTGAAGTAAATGTGTCCCAAAGTCTGAAAATCAGTGTGGAACATTAATAATCGTCACTGCCAAAACTTTTTGTGTTTTAATGAAAAATATGATGACTTTGTGTGTGTACAGCTGTTCAAAGCTGTGTCATGTAATGACTGTGTTTTTTTAATTTCTGCTCAAAATGAGCTAAAATTGTCACTAACGAAACATTCGGTAAAGTCTCGGTGCTGTTTGTTGATTGTGTTGTTAGTGACAAAATGTTCAGTGACTTGTTTTAATAAAATAAACATAATTAACGTATAGGGTCATAGTAAAAGGATTTTAGCCTCACGTCAAGGTCAGTTAAATGTGTTTTGAACTCTGACTTTGAACCAATCCAGTAGAATAATCCATCTCCTCAAGCTTCAGATGGAGAGTTTGGCTGAAGAGTTCATTGAACTTGTATGTGATTAGTTTAGGTGGAGCCCCCATGCTGTGGGATGTTGATATTACATCCAGTTGAGGCCTGTGAGACGGTTCGACCTCTCGGCTCTTCAGAGTTATATTGAGTCTGAGTCCATATAGCTCATGTCTGTATAAGCTGGTCTTTCTTGCTGCACTTCATTGTATTGTTTTGTTGTCCACACCTTCCTGTAGATGGTGCAACGAAGAAGCTCCGCAGCACCATCAGGAGGAGCACGGAGACGGGCATCGCCGTGGAGATGAGAAACCGCGTCACGCGGCAGGGCAGCAAGGAGTCGACGGACGGCAGCACCAACAGTAACAGCTCAGATGGAACGTGAGTGAAAATTAGGGCTGCAGCTCTTGATTATTCCCATAATTGATAAACTTATCAACCATTAAAGGGGAACTCCACTGATTTTGCAAAATTAATTAATCACTTAATGGTTTAGATGTAAACAAACTCATTCAGAGTAGTTCGGTGTGCAATACACCTTTCTAGAGCAGTAATTCTCCTCTCTACAAGTTCTCTGGAATTACCACTCTGTAATGTCTTCCGGGTTTCTCAGACACCAGAGGGCGCTCCCGAGTGAGTCCAAAATGAATCAGTTAAGATGGATCATTTGAGCAAAATCATAGTTTATAAATGTTTAAACATTTTTAATATAAAAGAATACAATCATTTCCTGAACCCAGAACAGCATAAAACATTTTAACACTGCTGTTATATTTTTAAGAGCTTTTAAACTCGAGTTATAGGAGTTTAAAATGGCGCCTCATGTACATCTATGATATCAGTGAGCGCGAAGCCAATAAGCTGCTCCCCTCGCCAACCAATCAGCTCTCAGTACCAGTAATGCTAACATCCTGCTGCCCAAAACCCGTTTGCTGTAGAAAAAAGGAAACATACAGATGAGTTTTCATTGCTCTTTTAGTGAAACTCATCCTTCTACTTTCTAAAATTAAAGGAAAGTTCTGGGCGAGTGATTAGAAACTATTTTATTTGTTTATATTGTGTTTAGTCGTTTAGCTCCATTCACCCCCATTCACTGAGGACTCGCTCACGAGCGCCCTCTGCTGTTTTTCAGTCCAGTTTTTGATATAACGGGGGAAATAGGAAGTGGCCAGGCTCCTCATCAACCAGCTCTGGTGACACCACAGGGATTCCCAATATGTAAATAATGTGTTTGTGCAATGCATGCTGGGTGTTGTTGTGAATATTAATGAACGAAAACATGAAGATGATTTAAAATCGTAACTTCTGTCAAACTAGTTATAACTAACGATTTCTTGTTTTATGTTTTATTATGAAACAATAGAATCCATATCACTGATACACTTCACATTCCCTTTAGTGTACTGCTATCTGTCAGAATGACCACATGTATCATATGAAGATTATAGAGCATTATAAAGCTATTGTTATTTTAAGTAAATGATGTGATGACATTTGTTTCCTAATTGACTATGTCAGCGTTGTTGACTGACTTTGTTGTCTCTGTGCCTTTAAGACTAAATGCTCTGTTCTGATTGGTTGACTTGTATTGTGTATCATTCAAAAAGCAGTCTGGACCGAAGCACTCCATAAAACTTCAGCATTAGCGAGCGGGGCTAAATGGTGTAGGCTGAATAGGAGGATATATGTTACTATGTTGGCTTTTGTGACGTCACGAAAAAAATCTGTTCAACTGTACAGGCTGAGGGTGAACTGTATGTCTTGAGACTTTAACAGAGTTCACACACTGCATCAAACTCTTCATTCCAAAAAAGCAAAAAAGGTGATTTTCTGTGATATGGGCCCTTCACCAAATTATATGAATAATTGAAAAATGAGAAATCGTGATTAAAATGCAGTTTGTTTTCTTCGCTCTCAGAGGTATTCAGACATCAACTGATTTAATGAAATTCTTTAAAGGAAATCACATAAATAATACTGAGTAGCTCGATATCTTTTAGTCATAAACTTTTTTATATCTGGTTTTTATTATTCTTACTGCAAACACATAGTTAGATCCTCCTGGTGTGGGTTCATGGGTGTTGTCATGCTAATCTGCTCCAGTAAGCTAGAGAGTGTGTGTTTACACGCACTTAATAATCCAGTAACTGCAGAAAATCAGATTTTGTCAGTAATCCGATCAACGCGTTTACATGCACTTGAGAAATGAGGCAATGAGGAAACTCCCGGTCTACATGAGTCAGAGAGTAATCAGACACAACAGTGCTGCTGGAGTTTTTAAACACTGTGTCCACTCACTGTCCACTCTATTAGACACTCCTACCTTGTCAGTCCACCTTGTAGATGTGAAGTCAGAGACGACAGCTCATCTGCTGCTGCACAGTTTGTGTTGGTCATCCTCTAGTCCTTCATCAGTGGTCACAGGACGCTGTTGGCTGGATATTTTTGGTTGGTGGACTATTCTCAGTCCAGCAGTGACACTGAGGTGTTTAAAAACTCCAGCAGCACTGCTGTGTCTGATCCACTCAGACCAGCGCAACACACACTAACACACCACCACCACATCTGTATGACTGCAGTGCTGAGAATGATCCACCACCCAAACAGTACCTGCTCTGTGAGGGTCCATGGGGGTCCTGACCACTGAAGAACAGGGTAAAAGGGGGCTAACAAAGTATCAGAGAAACAGATGGACTACAGTCTGTAACTGTAGAACTACAAAGTGCACCTATATAGTAAGTGGAGCTGATAAAATGGACAATGAGCGTAGAAACAAGGAGGTGGTCAGAATGTTAAATAACTTTTTGGTCAAGAATCTTCATCACTACTTAGTTATATCCCTTGACCATCTCACTCTGACTTCAGACACAGTTGTACTGTATAATGACCAAGTGAGTCTCTGGATACGTGATTCTGTTCAGCTCTGTTTTACTGAGAATTTTCTGGAAAACTAACAGATTTCCATTTTATTTCTTGACCAACAGGTTCATCTTCCCCACCACTCGTCTGGGCCCTGAGAGCCAGTTCAGTGATTTCCTGGATGGCCTCGGTCCTGCACAGATAGTGGGGCGTCAGACATTAGCCACACCTCCTATGGGTAAGTCTATAGGTGCTTCCTGCATTGGAAATAACTGTATGTAATATTACAGTAGACTGTATCAAGATGTGGATCAACTTGGCGTTTGTTTCTATCTGGATGCCTGTCAGCTTTGTGCACACTCAGCTCATGTAAAGTCGACTTGCACACAATAGATGAACTCGTTTGAACTCATTTTCAAAAGAAGAAAGCTGGCAGCTTTTTTTTTCCCAGTTCAGCCCCGTAATGATTAATGGCACGTTGTTTCAGTTCTTTGATCTACACCTTTAATTTCCTGTGTCCTGTATTCATAACATTACAGCAGATATTCTGGCACAGCATTAAAGAAACGTCAGTTGCTTGTCTTGTAGTGCTAAACTACATGTTTGCTATTCTTTGCCTCCACCTGCTGGTCATCCCTGGAACTGTCAGGCTATAAGTCAGTATGTATGAAGATGGCGTGTAAACCAATATTTCTACCTTTGTAGGAGATGTCCACATTGGAGTAGTGGACAGAGGTGGTCAAATCGAGGTGGAGATCACCCAGGCTAGGGGCTTAACCCCTAAACCAGGCTCCAAAAACATTCCAGGTAAGGTATGACAAAGAACAATAAACTTTGTGCCTTGTACTTCCACTCACTGGCCACTTTATGGGAAACCCCTGCCTTGTACTTCCACTCACTGGCCAATTTATTAGAAACACCTACCTCGTATGTCTACTCACTGGCCACTTTATTAGAAACACCTACCTTGTACTTCCACTCTCTGGCCACTTTATTAGAAACACCAACCTTGTACTTCCACTCACTGGCCACTTTATTAGAAACTCCTACCTTGTACTTCCACTCACTGGCCAATTTATTAGAAACACCTACCTCGTATGTCTACCCACTGGCCACTTTATTAGAAACACCTGCCTTGTACTTTCACTCACTGGCCACTTTATTAGAAACACCAACCTTGTACTTCCACTCACTGGCCACTTTATTAGAAACTCCTACCTTGTACTTCCACTTACTGGCCACTTTATTAGAAACTCCTACCTTGTACTTCCACTTACTGGCCAATTTATTAGAAACACCTATCTTATACTTCTGTTCACTGGCCACTTTATTAGAAACACTTACATTGTACTTTTACTCACTGGCCACTTTATTAGAAACCCCTACCTTGTACTTCCACTCACTGGCCACTTTATTAAAAACACCTTTTTGGTCCACTTATATAGATGTACAGTTACAGACTGTAGACCATCTATTGCTACACAGTGTGTAAGCCTCTGCATACCCCATTCCTCATAGGTCACTTTCTGACCACAGGATTGTTGTTCGGATATTGGTACACAGTAGCAGGGAGGGTCTCTGAGCTTGCTGAGCGTTTTCTCTCTATGATATGTGAGGATGGGAAGGGCATTAAAAACATTATATTATTGGTTAATATTATTCTTCCCCAACCTCTGGTTCATGGTGCTATAATCAAAATCAGAAGATGGTTTAGAGTCAAAAAGTACACAAGAAAACAACAATTTTGTTTTTTATATGATATGACATGACGAATTGCTCCTAATATGACCAAGTAACTGAACAAACAAGGTCAAAGTTTTGATTTCAGGTTGTCTTTAATGAAAATCTCACATTAGAATATAATATAATGTTGAGCAACTTTTGGTAATGCATTTGTGAACTCCTGCTGGTGTGAGTTTGTGACTGTTTCTTCCCTTTAAGTGATGCACACAAAAGTAACTTGCATGCTAATAGTGCCCCCTTGTGGAGAAACCTCTAGACTGCTAAACCTAGATGAGTGAATGATTTCCAAAACTAAAGTCTCATCCACATGCTTTACATTAAAAAATGAGAGTTTTTCATCATTATAGAAGAAGTGCTTGTTCAAACTGTATGGAAAACATTGAGAATTTTTCTCTGCAGGGAAACCTGTAGTGAATTTACTCTAATTTAGCCTAATGGCTTATTAAGGCCCCATTTTAATCTGTTGTTTTATCAGGAAAAGAGATCAAAACCTTAAATGTATGTTATTTAGTATCATTTACCCAGCTGTTTAAAATTAAAATTCATCTTCTCCAACTCTCTATCGATTCTCTTTCCCAACACTGGTACGAGTATATCAGGCATCCAGGCACTGCTGAGGTTTTACACACTTCAATGTCACTGCAGCACTGAGAGTGGCCCACCGTCCAAAAATATTCCGCCAAGACTCTGTGGTCAGAAACCGAGCGTTGGTGCAGAACTAGAGGATGACTAACACAAACAGATGGCCTAGAGTAAGGAAGGAAGGAAGCTGGAGCTACATGGTAGAAGTTTCTGATAAAGTGGACAGTGGGCGTATGTGCATATGGCACTGCATTATTGTTCAATATGGTCATATTGTACAGCCTGTTTGCTTTTCACTGGCAGCAACCTATGTGAAGGTGTATGTTCTGGAGAATGGAGCGTGTCTGTCCAAGAAGAAGACCAAAGTGGTGAAGAAAACTCTGGACCCGACCTACCAGCAAAACCTGCTGTTTGACGAGAGCCCCCAGGGCAAAGTGCTGCAGGTACAGATATGAACTGTAATCACTCAGAATACCTTTAGAGTTTGATTTTTCTGTTTACATTATTTTCAAAACATACTGCTCACTCATCAGTCCATACAGGCCATATATGGAAACTAAGCTACAAAGACAGCCCATTTTGAATCCATCTGAACGCATTTACAGCTGAATGCTGTTTGGCCCCACCCACTCCTGTTGAAGTGATGCGGAGTGTTGTTCCTGCAGACAGTCTGTAGCTGAGTTATTGGAGTTAAAGATGTGGGAAATCAGTTAATCATTGTGCTGTTCTAGGCTGTCGGGAAGCAAACAGAGCAGTGCAGCTTTCCAAAAGACCCACACATCCAAACTGAGCAGCTGATGTTTTAAAACTAATTATGGTCAGATCTGGGTAGTCACTAGTTACGCTTATTCAAGAACATGGTCCATCTGCATCTTATACTAACGGTCAAACCTTATTCTCTGTTCATATTACTTGTGTTATTGTTTCCTATCTGGTGTGGACCAGAGGAGGATGGGTTCCCCTTTTGACTCATCTCAATGCGTAAGGGCCCAGGCTGCGCCGCTGGCCGCCAGCAGAGGGCGACGGCGGCAAGGCGGCACAAGTTCAGGGAACTCCAATTCCCAGAAGCCCTCGGGCTGATTAGGCCCAACCTGGCACACCTGTGGACTCCTCTACTTAAAGCTGTGGCAAACAGCAGCCCTTTGTCACACCTTTGTAGAGGGGTGACCGTTACGGTACCTAGCCTAGGTGGGTATTTAGACAAAAAGAAAAGAAAATAGGGCTGGAAAAAAGAGGAATTGCCCCAAAACAACAGAAAGAAGAAAAAGAGGGCTAAAAAGGAACAAATTGCCCCAAAACTACTAAGACGGCTTAAAGAAACGGCTCCAAGCCAAACAAAAAGTGTTTGTTCCAGAAGGAACGAAGAGGTGAAACAGAAAGGTGATCATCCTCTCATAACTACAGAGGAAGTGTATTTTGTTTTTATATTATTTTTTATTTCACTTTTGAATCTCAGCCTTTGTTCGAGCACGCTGTTTTCAGCGTCCCCTTTGTCTGCCATTTTTTTCCCCATTTGTTAAGGTGATTTTTCCCGTTTTTGCCTGTGCTTCCTGGTGGTGCAGTGTTAAGTCAAGTCAAGTCAAATTTATTTGTATAGCGCTTTTTACAACTGATGTTGTCACAAAGCAGCTTCACAGAAATCCATTTAGGACAAAGTTTCAACATGAAATGTAAATCCTCCAGGTGAGCAAGCCAGGAAAAACTCCCTCAGAGCTGAGGAACAAACCTTGGGAGGAACCAAGGCTCACAAGGGGGGACCCATCCTCCTCTGGTCAAACTACCTACAAAATTATTATACTACTAATATTAATAGTAGTAGTAGTAATAGTTAGGAGTCCACTTCAGTGTAGAGTGGGCAGCCAGTCCAAGGCAGGTGGCGGTGACTGGGGTGTGGGCAACTGGTCTGAAGCGGGTAGCCGGAGAGCTCTACAGACAATCATCCAGCAGTGTCCGGCCGGACAGGTGGGCAGACTGTGTTAACTCCGCTGACTGTGATAACTCCGCTGACTGTGATAACTCCGCTGACTGTGTTAACTCCGCTGACTGTGTTAACTCCGCTGACTGCCATTCAGTACATCAGCGGTTCGAGCCTGGCTCTGTCACCTCAACCCCAACGTGCAGAATCACTCCATTCACACTCAATCACCTCATTGGTTCATTTCAGACCCTTTTTCACGGGTTTTCCTCTCTGCACCTGGGTCCGCCTCCCTGCCGTCCCGTAACGCAGTGTTTCTCCCTCTTGCTCTTAGGGAGTTTACCTTGCCACTGTCGCCATTAGCGACGCTCATGGGGACTCGGACCCCGATTTTTCTGTAAAGCTGCTTTGTGACAAAGCCTGTTGTAAAAAGCGCTAAATAAACTTTGACTTGACTTGACTGGATAGATTTGTACTCTTCTGAATATTTTCAAATGATACAACTTTTATTTCTACTCAAGTGTATGAGTGAGCAAAAGAATCTACGTTTTCCTCATAGTTATAATCGTTTTATATATGTTTTACTCATAGTTATATTCATATTTAGTAACTAAATCCTTTTTTGCGTTTAATTTCATTGTTTTGTTGATGACATCATCTGTACTGCTTTGTGATTGGTCACACCTCTGACTTTGGAGCTTTAGCATTATACTTTAGACCAAATGAATCCCGAAAAGAGAAGAATAGAGTCTAACAAACTTCATTTCCTGTGATGATACATGCTGGATTTGCTCAAAAGTTCCACTGCGGTTCTATAAGTTACTCAGTGCTTCACTCAGTTTTTTGGGAAGGTGCTTTTACTTGTGTCATTACTTTACCCAAGCATCAGAACTTTTACTTGAGTCATTGATTTAAGCTACTCCACCCATCTTTGATCATTTATAAGTGAAGTTTAGGAAAAAAAAGCAAGTAAAATGTAAAATATGGTCCCTTTTAGAACCCATATATCTAGAACAGCATCACTAATCTCACCCAATGTCTGTTAGGTGATCGTGTGGGGTGATTACGGCCGCATGGACACCAAGTGCTTCATGGGAATGGCCCAGATCCTCCTGGACGAGCTGGACCTGACATCCATGGTCAGCGGCTGGTACAAGCTCTTCCCCACCTCCTCACTGGCTGACCCCAGCATCGGCCCGCTGACCAGACGCCTCTCGCAGTCGTCTCTGGAGAGCGCCACCAGCCCGTCCTGCACCTAGAGATGACCTCGGCCCCGGCCAGGCCATCCTCCGAGTCTTCTCTCCGTCTGTCCATGTCCTCTTTCTCTCTCTCTTTCTCTATTTCTATTCTCTCAAATACTCTCTCGCCCTCCCTAAAAGCACACACACCTTCAGATATACACCACTGTTCGAAAGTTTGGAATCACTAATAAGCTGTAATTATCTGTTTACTGTATTTTTTTGCCTCAGAAATTAATCACCACTTTTGAAATATGAGACATTATGGATATTAAATTTGCTCTAACTTCATTCTGGATATTAATTATAAGTATAATTATAAAAAATTTGTTCTATATATTAATTTGATCAGAACTTTAATGTGGATATTAATTTAATTACTCATTCTGGATATTAATTTTTTTAGAACATTCTTGATGTTCTGGAGCTTTCACTGTCAGTTTAAAACCTTCTACAGCTCATTTCTTCATTCATTCCCTTATTTGTTCATTCTGGCTATGAAATTTTATAGATTTATCAGCACCTAAATTGGTTTTATATTACTAAAAACATTGATTCTAAACTTTGGAACGGTACTGTGTATTCATCCAGCTGGAAAACAGTTCATTCTGGCTGCTGCAAACAGAAACCCACACATACATACAGAGAAATGGAGATATTTGATATTAACCAGCAAAAACATGCAGCAGAAGCTCCACAGCGAAGTGAGGCGCAGCTTCGTTTATCAGTCAACACTCAGAACTCAGTCAGAACACACACAGTGAAACGCAGGGGCATTGGAGACTAATCCTGAGAAACGTGTTCCACACAGAAGATGTAGCATTCATGTTTGTTCTCCTCGCAAAGAGCAGAAAGGAACTTAAGTCTCCCTGATAACCCACCCAGGCTCATTCCAAATACCACTTTCTTTATCTCGTTTTGTTTTGTTCTGTTTTTTTCTTAAACTCTCTATGCCAAACCTGATAAAAAAAAGTTTATTTTTTAAAACCAAAGCAATTCTTATTATCTGTAGTGTCTGTAGAAAATGAATATGTAGCAGAGTCAATGACTTGGGTGAGATGCAAAAAATTAGAAAAAACTTCAATTTAATGTTTCAGGTCCAGAATTATCTTCACCCTTGATAAACCTGGAGGAACAAAGCTGTATAAAATAAACAAAACAAGAGTCACGATACGTGTTGCATGGAATAGAGGTTGTATTTTATTGTACAGGGTGATTCAAAAAGATTCATCTGATTTCAAAATGATTTATTTCCCTTGTAAATCATTACAGATCAGTGCAGTGAACTGTAAATGGTTTAAATGAGCATAAAGTTTATTATGTAATTGTACAAGGTCTCAGTCTGAACCTCCTCCAGCTGTACAGACAACATCAACACCATAGTCAAACTCATCCCATACTGGATTGAGCATGTCGGGCGTCGCTGCACTCACGGCTCTTTCAGTGCGATTTCGGAGATCATCCAGTGTTGTGGAACCAACGCCGAACGCTCTGAGCTGTTGGAGGTTCACTGCTGATGAAAATCACACTGCACAGTTATGACGGATTCACTCTTATTGAAGTGGAGAACGCAGGGGTCTCATCTCCTCGCAGACTGAAGCCATCTTCCACTGACAGTCAGAAACTCTATGACCCCCTCTTTCATTTGGATTGTGATTGGTTCCTAGACGCCTCACGGTTGTAAAAATATGGCGCTTTGAAATCACGTGAATCTTTTTGAATCAGCCTGTATAATAAATTTCTAATTCTAATTTAGTGGTACACTATATGTCCAAAAGTTTCTAAACACATGCTCATTGAGCGTTTCTTCTGAAATGCAGGGTGTTAATGGGGACTTTGACCCTATTTGCTGCAGTAACAGCCTCTACTCTTCTGGGAAGGCTTTACACAAGAGCTGTGAGGACTTGATTGAGCATTAGTGAGGTCAGGTACTGATGTTGGATGGTCAGTTCTGGAACTCCAACTCATCCCAAAGGTACTGGATGGAGCTCCATCACTCCAGAGAACACAGTTCCACTGCTCCACAGTCCAATGCTGGGGGTCTTTCCGCCCCTCTAGCCTACGCTTGGCACTGGGCATGGTGACCTTGTGTGACTGCTCCAGAGCCTCCCATTCTCTTGCTTTTCTATGGAGATTAGAAGGGCTGTCTGGATACTTTTGGACACACAGCGTAGCTACTGCTCAGACACACGTTGGTTCAAAAAGAACTATATAATCTGTTCTGACAAGGACAGCAGCACTCTTCCCTTTAGTGACCCATACGTCGAGAGCTTGGGCCAGTCCTTCATACAGAAATATTCTATATTTTGCTGTCTATCCTAGGTCCTGTATTTCTCATGATAATGCATGACAAAACATCACATTTGTCACTTTTCTAAAAACCGAGTAGCTCTGCAGGTCATGGAGATCACAAGCTTAGTTGAATTTACAGTCGTATTCAAAACAGCCCTGGTGTTAAAACAGGTTAACACCTCGTCTACAGAGAACACACAGAATGTGGCATTTTCTGCTGATTTTATTACACAACTTGTATTTATTTTCTGACTTTAACATACTGGAGAAAATAAAAACATAAAATACAAAATATAATATGTGCCATAACTTTAGCACAGGCTGCGTTTTATGTTAAATTCAGCAAATAAACGAGTAGTTGTGTGTTAAAATGTGCAGAAGTGTGTTCTCTGTAGAGGATGTGTTAACAAACCTTTGCATATGACTGAAGTAGCATTTCAGATCAAATTTCTTCAGGAAAGTTAAAGATTTTGACATGTGTGCTCTCAGAAATAAAAGACCTTTCAAGGTTCTTGGCTTGAACCTATAGTTCTGGGAAAAAAGTCCTTTTAATTGGTGTAGAACGTTTAAAACTTACCAAAGTAGACCCTTTTGATTTGGGCTAAGGACTAAAATTATACACAAAAATTATATGCAAATATATTCGAGTTAGAGTCTTTAAAACATTTTGTGCAACATTATTCAATATTTTGCTTCAGGAATACAGTTTTAAGAAAAAACAGAATTTAATAAGATACATGTAGTATAATAAGATGTTTCTTCTCTCATTGGCCCTACTTTATGGCACGAGACGTTTATTTTACTTATATGGCAAGTGATCAAAAAAGAAGTATTTTTGAATTACGTGCATCTTTATATATATATATACATCATCTAAACTGCTTATCTTTCTGGGTCGCAGTGGGGTGCTGGAGCCTATCCCAGCTGTCATTGGGCGGAAGGCAGGATACACCCTGGACAGGTCGCCAGTCCATCACAGGGTAGCCAGACAGCCATACACTATACATATATATATGTATGTATATATATATAAATGCACGTAATTCAAAAGACTTCTTTTTTGATATATATATAAATCAAATATATATATGAAGAAGGGTCGTTTCTTTTGGTCCATTCATCATGAAATCTACACACAATGTAAAGGACAACAGGTATTTTCAAATAATGTCAAAAACTGAAAAATGTCAAAAATCGAGATACAAGGTTTTGTTCTGACAGCAGTGATATATACACATTTATGTCAAAATAATAAGTCTTTTTCTCAAAACTTTGACTAAGTAACTCAAAACAATGACTAATTGTCTCAACATTTTGATGTACTTTGTCAAAATAATGAGTTATTAAATATTAAGAATGTAGACCATTATCTTGATATTACATCAATATTTCAAGTCATTATTTTAAGGTAAAAAGTCAATATTTGAAGAAAATAAGTAACTATCTTGTGAAACTAAACCAATATTTGAAGAAAAGAAGGTACAACATGCATTCTGGGCGATTACCTATGCTGCATATTATAAACAACCATCAACATCAACCATTTTCCTCATCTTTATCAAGGGTGCCAATAATTCTGGAGGTGACTGCAAATATACGCACACGCACACACACACACACACACACACACACACACACACAGTCTTCTAAAAGGCAGGGCTCAAACTCACCGGTCAGGTTAATTTCAATGCACATAACTTCTGTTACATAAGGTAGCATAAATCTATGAATTAAAACAGAGCTGAAGAAATTAATATATAGCTACTTAGATTATATTTGTGTTTAAGTATTTATTGACTGCATTCTGCACGTTTACTTGCAGCCCTTGTTTAAAAAAAAAGGAAAAAAAGATGTGAAGTGCTGTTTTAAGCTTGCCTTTGAATATATTATATATAGAGTATATAGATGTTACTTTATTTATTTTGCTAATGTTGTAAACTTAGTTTTATTTTGACAAACTTTGATCTGCACTGAAGAGTTGACACGATGAAGGTGTGTTCAACCCTCCTGCTGCAAAGGAGGACTGGTCGTTCAACTGAACAGCTAAACCAGCAGCTCGTTTAAAGGTGCGAGTGGAGCGGACAGCGGACTGGCCGCTGCCGGACAGTGACGATGTGGCCGTGGAACAGAACAGATTTGGTTGAGTCGGTGGCTCCTTGATCGCGGACAACGGAGCCTTTTCTCTCTACCAGCATCTGGATCTGAACTGCTAAAAGGCCCTTTTCTGCCCCGTTACCTGTCCTACTCAGGAGGTCATGAAGTAAACAACAAGATCAACAACAACAACAACGGCAAAAACAACCACTACACTGGAAACCAACGGAGACCACGCTGAAAAAACAACAGTTAAATTGACATGATTGGAATGTGTACATACATGAATCTACGGAAGCCGTTCCTGCCAGGTAGAGGAGAAAACATCACCTGTTTCTGGCAGTTTGTCACAAATTTGACTTAATATTTCAAAATAAAGTCGTTTTTTTTTAAATATTAGTATCTGAAAGTAATGACTTAGCTTCTCAAAATATTGATTTAATATCTCAGAATGTCTCAGAATTATTTTCTCAGTAATTTGACTTAGTATGTCAAAATAATGAGTCTTTTTCTCAAAACTTTGACTTAGTAACTCAAAACAATGACTTATTTTCTCATCTTTTTCATGCACTATGTCAAAATAATAAGTCATTAAATTAATGATAAGAATGTCAACTATTATCTTAAGATAAAAAGTCAATATTTTAAGAAAATAGTAACTATCTTAAGGAACTAAATGAAT